TTCTCGGTTACGGGGTGCCCTCTCTGTTTCTCTCTCTCCCTCTGCCTCTCGGCCTGGTCTCGCTCGACAGGAAATGGATTTCCTCCGTCGAGACGTCTTTTTCTTGCTCGAGACCCCTCGCCAGAAAGGCTGCACCCTTCGCGCGATGCACAGGACACTTTCCCCGCGACCGTTCCTCGTTTACTCCGGTACCCCGACCAATCGTTGACTCGTATCACTAGTTCTCACGTTCGAATCGGTTTCACGGGATCCTTGTGAATTTGTCGAGATGTATTCTTGGTGATATCACAGTGGCAATCGACTGTGCGATAGGTACAGGTAGAGTAGAGAAGTTTGTTGGAAATTTTCTGAATGTTTCCAGGAACATTCCGAGATGAATCGGGAATCTCATGGAGATCCTGGGGCAACGTTTCCTTACGATTGCCACTGAATTCTTGCCGCGAGCGCGGCACGTGATACACGCGTGACGCGACCATTTTTCATGCGCATATTCTGATGGGTACTTAGAGAACTCCGGCGAAAGGAGCACGGTCCCGGGAAGTGTGCTCACTTAATCACGGGGTCATCGATCACTCCGCGTAATAACAAAAGCACTCGGTTAATTGCTCGTCGAACCGGCTCCGCTTCTTGCGCGCTAAACGAATCGCGAATGAATTTTTCAGCCTCGCCCGCTGGCCGTTGTCTCGCGAAACTGAAAGCTCCGAAAATTCCAGTCGTTGTCTGGACTCGATGGTCGTTATTATGGGACCAGAATTTACGACTAATATAAAGCCTTGCCATTGTATTTTCTAGACGTGCGATCGCTTCTGGGATCCGTGGCTGTATGAATATTCATGTGTCAGTTCGATAGACGGGTTTTTATAGACTCTCGCGGATTAACGTTTTATTTTTTCCCCGACGAAGTGATACAAGGTTCTCTTGCGCAAAAATACAAGTTTGAAATGTCGGTTAATTATAACGCAAGTTCGTAAACATTCCGAAGTTCCGCGTCTCGTGCAAGGAACTCCTGGTTCCATAGCCATATCCGTACGTCGACGGATAAATAATTCACGACACACGTACGCGTGGAGTCTTGCGAAAGGTCAAGTTGCCTGACTGACCACGTGCGTCCCAATCACGGACGAGGTATAGGGACACTCGCGTTGCGTCCCGACCTGGCCAAGGAAAGACTGGACTCGTTTGGCAATAACGTCCACCGCATTGCTCAGACTGCACACAATCTGGAAGGTGTCGAGACTGTTGCGGTCGCTTGTACCTTAGTGCTAGAAAAACTGGCTACTTTTATCGTCCAGCTAGTTGCAATCATCTCTTCCACATTAGTACTGGCAAGCATTGACGACGAGTTTCTCCTTGGTCAGTGTGTAACAGAGAATCAAATGCAAGTATGTTTAACATAAAACTTTATCTACCGGAACTGTAGAAAATGATAATCTTGAAAGAAATTACTACCTGTTATTCGTCAGTTGCAATAGTTATGAGAAACCTATTAATACAATTAACAATGAGTTGCAAAAACGATCTTAATAGCTTTCTCATAAATATAGTCTCAGAAACTATCACTTCTGATTATTTTCAATTGAAATCTGCGGTTGGATAATCGATCGAAGAAGCCTTAACGCTTAATCTACGATGATTTTATTAACCCTTTGCACTCGGAAGTTAACTAGAAACATTTCACGTGTTTTGATGAAGACGATATATTTAGAAAGTCGAAGAGAAATCACAAGTACATTGTGGAAAGCGATTTTATTCCAATATTTCACGTATCGAGGCATTGTACAGAGTTCAACGTTAAATATCAGATTTCATAGTATAGTGATCCCGGATGAGCCCCCAAGTTTATAGTGGGGCTACTATTATTATAGATATTGAAAAGGTGGATCTTCAGTAAAAAGAGAATTGGGAATAAATATATATGTATTTAATGAGATAAAGAAACAATATGGACAACACGTAAAAATACGTAAAAATACATATCACGCACAAAAATGATCTCCGCTGTCTCTCACCAAAATGTCCTTCTCGCACGCATTCCCACTCGCTTTTAACACACACTCCCATTCGCTCTGTCTTTCTCACCCTTGCACCCTTCTCACTCGCGTCTTTCGTCCATAGTCAAAATTCACGCAGTCGCGTACACGCTTCTCTCACGGTCCAGTCGCTCAGTTCCAGACACTCTTCCTCGTATTCTTTCAGCGACTCGAGATTTTCTAAACGCAGTCACGCTATTTTCCAAACATCCCAGCGCCGGTCCGTCGCAATACGACCTGGTCGCCCTTACGCACGCACAGCAAACCATTCATCCTACAATACTTTAACCTACGCTAAATAATTCTAGATACTACAATAGTTTCACTGTCGAATCAAGTGGACTGAGTCACCTTCCGAGTGCTAAGGGTTAACCCCTTGCCATACTTTAACGAGGTTGATAACAATATTGGATCACACATAAATATCGCGAGTCCGACTCGAGGTGACAACACGAGTGAGATATCAGTCGCCATAATTGTAGCCCAGATTTTGCCCGGTTAAATGGTATGGCAAGAGGTTAACCCCTTGCACTCGAAAAGTAACCCTCACCACCTGATTTCATACAGCACAACTCTGAAATCTGATATTAAATATTATACCTCTTATAACGCAACAATTTGAGAAATAATAAAACAAAACAGCTTTGTTCCTCAATGTATGATTCCTCTTCATTAGTTTCACAAAGCATCGTCATGATCTAATCAGAAAACATTGAAACATTTCTATCGAAAAACCGAGTGCAAAGGGTGAAATAACCGGTAGTAACCCTTTGCACTCGAAAAGTAACCCTCACCACCTGATTTCATACAGCACAACTCTGAAATCTGATATTAAATATTATACCTCTTATAACGCAACAATTTGAGAAATGATAAAACAAAACAGCTTTGTTTCTCAACATATGATTTCTCTTTGAGTTTCACAAAACATCGTCATCATCTAATCAGAAAACATTGAAACATTTCTATCGAAAAACCGAGTGCAAAGGCTGAAATAACCGGCAGCTAGAGCAGCTCCAATCAGGAATCGCGCGAAGCTGTCGTTAACAATCGCCGAAGATCGGCGCAGAATGTCGACAGCGGTGTTTCCGGATGTCGGGCATATTTCCGTCCGCGAAACGCCGGATTCCTCGCGCTGCCTGTCTCATTCTCCCGGAGCAATTGCCGTTTAATCGGCCCCCGTTTCAACATTCCCTTCGCATTAACCGGTTTACGGTTGTCCGGGCAATTGACTCCGTTCGCGCTTCGGCCCGAACGTGCCTGCGGAGGAGACTCCGCCTCTTCGTTAACCGTGATTTGTTGCCAGTGCATATCGCTCCTATGTTTACGCGATCGTCGGCGAAAAACCTGGGGCGCATCCGTCGCAGTCGGGAAATGCGGCGCGATAGGCGATAGCCCGGCTCGCGACACGCGTAACCAAGGGAATACGGGCGACCCTGCACAGACACGATAAACCGCGAGTGGTCGAGATTGATACGGTATCTCGATCCACCGCCCTGTGCCGCTATGGTATTCGCGACACCGCTGGGACCTCGTTACACAGCGATACAGTCGCTCGGGAATTACAGCGTCCGCCAAAAGTATCGAATCACTTAGCGGTTTTCAGGGGAATTACGCGACGCGCAGGTTTCATTCGTCCGCAGGTGGAATTCAGTGTGTTTATTTGCATTCTTCGTTCTGTTGGTCTCTAACCCTTTGAACTCTGTAGGCTCGAATATCGCACCAGTTGTAATATTAAATATTTTGATGAACCAGTTAACTGTGCTCGACGAGTATACACATCTTCAAATGCAAAATGGTACTTTCTCAATAAACAGTTATTCATTTTTTCGGGTGAACATGTAATTCTCCGTTTTGTTTTAGTTTATCGTTAGAATATCTTAGGTACATTTGCTCTGCTTTTGATGAGTATACATTTTGTTTGATTTTATTGTGCGCACAATGAGATTTTTTAAACTAACCACAGTTAACAGGTTAAAGAAACTACCCTAGAATTATTAGATTTTCCACGATCCAAATTTTCTAAGAAGGAAAATAAAAGATCGAAGAAATGTTATAGTTTCTCATTTTCGATGGGAATACTATAAAAATTAGATGCAGTTGCTGATTACGAAACAACCTGGAGTGTTAAGGGCTAATATCTGCAGTTGTATAGGAACCTCTGTGAATTGAAGCATAGAAGTGGCATAGGAGTTTTCTAGTAAACTGGCATGAATGAATTTACTTAATATTGGCGATAAATCGCTTGAACTTATTAGACGACAGAAAACTGTTCAACTCTTTCCTACGGTTTAATTCCACAGTTGCACCTGTCACAACTATTTCTAAATCCCTTGG